AAATGTGAGTTTAAGTAACATATTTTAACCTTTTTAGAAAATAGTGTTTTTGCCATTTCACCGTAGTAGGGCGGAATTTGGCTTGTATAGAGAATATCGTTATATTTAATCGTACTTAGATAGCTTTCTACCAAAGGTATAGATTTTTTAGTTCTCCAGTATCTATGAGTGAGGTCTAAAACTGATAGCTCATTAAGATCTTGCAGGTATTTACAATTTTTGGACATAATTCGGACTGTAAATTTGTCGCTAAGGAATTGGCGGCGTAAATGCATTGGAGGTTCCACCGCTTCAATTTCCATTATTTGGACTGGAGTGGATTTTAAATAACCTAGGCATAATCTCAGGCATTTATTTTTTTGAACTTCAAGTTTGTTTAGGTGTGTATTCGTCGCTGATCCAAATAAATGACAGTTATAGTCGAAAATTGGCCTGATCATGTTACGGTAAAACATCAAAGCAATATTTGGGTCTGCTCCCCAATTTGTTTTACAGAAAGCTCTTAAAATGTTTAATGAGTTTTCTGATTTTTTAACAATTTGATGAATGTGATCTTTCCATAATAATTTTCTGTCTAGATAGGTACCAAGATACTTAATACAGTTTTTTATAGGAAAATTAAATTTTCCCACATTAAGATTGCCTTGTGGAACTCTATGTTTTTGTGAAAAGTAACACACCTCAGTTTTTGTGTCAGAAATTGATAATCCTATTTCTTCATAGTACTGATTTACGATTTCTAATGTGGCTTTCAAATTATCCTCACAGTTACTTAACAATTTTCCTGCTGTATATAAAACAACATCATCAGCATATTGAAGAATTTTTGTATGGTTGGGTATACTAACTTCAAGATCTAAGTTGTACAGGATATATAAAATCGGGCTTAAAATACTTCCCTGTGGCAATCCAATATTGGTTAGTCGGGGGTATGAAAATTCCTCATTATTAATTTTTAAAAAAGTTAGTCTGTTAGAATATAAAGATTTTAAAAAGAGGGCAAATGATCTAGGGATTCCAATACACAACATTTTTCGGTAAAGAATGTCTAAATTGACATTATCAAAAGCAGCAGAAATGTCAAGGAACGCAGCTGCTGTAGACTTATTTGACGTAAAATTAAGCTGAATTGAAGTAACTAGAGCTGTAGTTGCATCTTGAGTGGACCTAGACTTGCGAAAAGGATAAGGAGATAGGTCGGTAAGAACTTGGATCACGTTCTCGTCTGCCAGGTTTTTTAATCGGAATTATCAGGTACTCTTTCCAACTATTCGGTACTGGTGTCTTATTTGTCCAAATATTGTTGAAAATGTGTACTAGTGAATTTTTATATTCTATAGGTAAGTTGTATAACAGTGAGTATGACACATTGTCAATACCTGGAGAAGTATTATTTCTTTGTTCAAGGGCTCGATGCAATTCCCATAAATGAAAATTTTCGTCAAAAATGTGATTTTGTCTGGGTACTATTTGAATATATTCTTGTACAGTGTCGTCATTTGGAACCCATGCAGGGGCAATTTTTCTATGGAATTCCTGCAACCATCTATCTTCTGGATCAATGGGTACTTTGTTGGCTTGTTTGCGGTTTTTAAAAACAATTAACTTTTCGCCAGACATCTTTTATTGGTGTTCTTGAGTTTAGACTTTCGCAAAATTCAATCCAATTCTTCTTTTTCTTTTTACAAACTGTTAACTAAACTACTAACAAACAGATTAACAACTAAGTTAGATTAGCGTTGTTCCCAATCGTGAACTAGTCACAATCCTAGGAGATTTTAACGCCAAAGTAGGTTCATCTAACGAGTATATTGAAGGGGTAACCATCTAGTGGAGAACATGATTGTTGGAATGAACCGAGAGATTTACTTCAAAAGGTCAAACTCCTTACTAGAGAGTTTAAACCTCAAACGTGTTCTGTGATGGTAAGCTAAAGACCGTTAATGACGAAATATTGGAAACGTGATGAAACCATTGTAGCGATTTATATAAAAATAACGAGACTCCTGGAACTCCAGGAACTAAAGGCATAATCCTGTTTCTAGACCTGTATGGTTTTAAAGTCTATCAGTAGGGTGCTACCAGACTGTAGACCCCTCCTCCTTTATCCGGGCTTGGGATCGGCAACAGTTTTGTCGAGCTACTCGAGATTGATTAATAAATAAATACACAATTTATAAAAAAAATATAAATTTTCACTTTTAAGTTTGCATTTTCACTTCCCTAGAAAATTTCCTTACTTGATTCCACTCGCCACTTATATATTTTGCTGTTCTATGTAGTTCCTCTTTTTAGTTCTGAGTAGTTCTTGCCTGTGCCCTTGTTCTGTGAAAATATGCTTTTTCCCTTGCTCTGTTTGTATCTTTAGGGTTTTGTAACATTTTCAATCTGTTGTGAGTTTTTATTTCCAGCATTTCCTCGCATTGTTTAACCTTTGTGTCTATACCCAGGTACCTGGGTATCTTTGGTAATTGTTTTATCTGAATCATTGACGATAGTATAAATATTTTTATTCGAGCTTCTAGTTATTCCTAAAATTATTTAGAACGAAGAGATTTATAATAAAAACCAAAGAAAAAAATGCATATAATATATTAAAATTACCTGTCAAAGTTTTTACACCATTACGTCCACACCCGTGGCACCCGGGTAACACTAATGTTTAGTAAATTATGAAGCTCTGTCTAGTTTTTTTTTATAATAAAAGTGATATGGAAACGTAAATAAAAGTTACATTTTAAACACATTGTCCACACTTACTTATATTTACTGAGTGTTCGTTACATAGTGGACGATTACAAACATTACATGATTTTCGTGTCTTTCTTAGCCGCTTTTTCGCTAAAGACATACAAATGTAGCAGTTTCCAACAATTTTGAGGCGTCCAGTGGAATCTCGAAGTGGTAATGACTCTGCAGTATTACTTGAATCTGTAGGTAGAGGTTTTCCTAACATACACTCAATTCCTGACCTTGATGAAAAATTTCGGTATACATTTGGTACTTTAGATCTAGCAGAAATTGCAGGCATCACTAGTTGTTTCCCTAAGTCTTGTAGAAAAATTCTACGCTTACTGGTTTCAGTAGAACTCTGTGGATTATTCTCTGTATAAATTATATAGGTTGCTAGGCAAGCTACGTCTAGGATATTGTAAAAGAAGGCTACTGGCCAACGCAAAGTTCTGCGTTTAGTGGAATAATGAGAAACCATTTTGTCCATGTTGTCTACGCCTCCTTTAGTTGTATTATAGACTGATTATTTCAGTTTATTTTTGGGCCACTTACATTATCGTTGTCATGCATTGTTGACAGCAAGATAACGCTTTTTTTCTTTTTTGGTACATATGAACAAATAGTAACACGATCTGCACTGAATCCGTGTAATGACGATTCAGGCTCACGCTCTGGCGAAGGCAGCATTTCTTGTGGAATATATGGTTTGTTTCTTTTCAAAGTACCAACTAATGATAAATTCCAAGACAACAGGAGACGGGCTAGTGGAAGAGTTGTGAAAAAATTATCCATTGTTATGTTTCGTCCAGAATTTTTGTATCGGTAACACAAATCTTTTACTACGCGTTCACCTTGATTAGTTTCACGTCCAGTCGAATTTTTTCCAGTATAAATTTGTCCAGTAAGTGGATACGAATTATTGGCGTCACAAACCCACCAAACCTTGATGCCATACTTGGCAGGTTTTGCTGGCATATATTGCGTGAAACGTGTCCTACCTCTAAAAGGAAATAACTGTTCATCCACAGTAAGAGAATCCGACGGTACATAGTTACGACGTAAATTATCATTGAGAAGATGGAATATATCTGTAATAGCTGCAGCTTTATCATTTTGCAAACGTTCTGCACGTGTTTTGTCATTGTCAAACCGTAAGAATCTGCTGATGCTCCAAAAGCGATTTATGCCCATACTTGCTCGGTACAAAGGATGAGAGTCTGTTTTCCATAAATCTTTCGAGTGCTCTGAATTTGAATGCCGTACTCCTGCTGTAATAAGAATACCTAAGTATGCATCAAATTCTTCTGTTGTGAGTGACTTCCAAACATTTCGAGGTTTGTCGGGTTTTCAACATTATACTTTTCACAAACGCTATTAGCTTTTCGATTGGTTTCGCGTATAATTATGTCACACATTACGTCACTGAAAACACATTTGAATGTATCTCTAATCGAAAGAGTTTTAGTAGAACGTACTGGGCCCGTTTTTTCACGCAAAAGGTTACGTTTCAGTGTTCGACTTGCAGTAAACGGTTTTCGTTGCCAAATCGTTTTGTCTTTTGCAACCAGAACATCACTTTGGGAAGAACTTCCTTGAAAATCGTCAAAATCTTCATCACAACTATCGTCGCCGTCGGTATCGATTTCAATCTTATTATTGATATCAGTAAAAACGTCCTCTACGTCAGAAGCTTCATCTCCATCCGGTTTGCTTTGCGAAACATAGTCCTCATCTGATTCCTGGTTTTCGATATTTTTGTCTACTTCCTCATCTATATCGTCTATAAATTGTTGCAAGTACTTCTGTTGCTTTTCATACGTCATTCTAAAATTGAATGATCTATGTATAAAACATTGTAAAAATAAACAGTAATAACTTACCTTCTAAATTCGCTAGCACTCACTTCTCTTCTTGCCATTATTACAAGTAATTACAACATAAAACACGCATATAGTCACAAAAATATTAACAACTTAATAGTACAAGTAAGCACAGTTAAATAAACACTGATAGCAAACAAAGAAAAATCCCAATTTTATTATACGAAACAATGCCGGGTACCTGGATAGCACGGGTATTAGACTCCCGTATCAGGTACTTGGGTATAGACATAACGGTTAAATACTTTAAATTTTACATAAATCGATTAACAAATTACTTAGAAAATATCAGATTTGAAATTGGAGTGATAAATAATAATGCATTATCTATATAATGTAGTCGAAACCTGATTTACATTTTCTATAAATCCTTTCTCTTTGTTACAGTTCTAAGTGAATTAGAAGGTCTCTCGAGAGGTGGCAAAGGACCCGCCCCAGACTCACGAAGTGCTTTGGATCCGCAACACGTAAAGAAAGTAGCAGATTGCGCCAGAGAAGCCTTAGAATTCCTCAAAAATAGACACGCCTCTGTGAAATGCGTCACCACAAAAGGCGTCATCCTTCCGTCCACAAATTTTTCCACAGAAGATGATACGATGTGGGACAATAGTTTTAAAAACGATGATAAGATTTTAACTACGTGTTTAGGTTTATGTAAGGGGCACAAGGAGAATGCACAAGAGGTTTCTGAAGGTAAGTGTCCATTTAGTAATCGATTGATATCTTTCTCCAACTCTGGATATCTATTTCTTCTTCTTGCAGTACCGTCTCCTATCGGAGGTTGGCTACCATCACAGCAATCTTTACTTTGTTGGCTGCAGCTCTGAACAACTGTATTGAACTGCACCCATACCACTCCCTTAAATTTCGCAACCAGGAAATCCTCCTACGTCCCACATTTCTCTTTTCCGAGATTTTTCCTTGGATTATGAGTCTAAGCAGAGAGTACTTTTCTCCTCTCATTATGTGGCCCAGATATTCCAGTTTTTTTGTTTGTATGGTTTTTATGACTTGGCATTCCTTCCCTATCTTCAGCAGAACATCTTGATTTGTTACTCTTTCTGTCCATGGTATTTTCCACATTCTTCTGTAACACCACATCTCGAATGCCTCAATGTTTTCGATGTTTATCTGGTTTATCTGATGGATACCTATTAACCCTTCATAATTCTTTATTTATTAGCCCTCTATGTTTCACCCAGTCTTCCATACTTTTCTTCCAGATTTCTGTTGACGTTTCTCTTTAATTCGCATCTGCTGTCATTAATTTTTATTTCAATCTTCGAGTAACTGAACAAACGTTTTTTTTTTTTGGAACAATGTTTTATATTTTAAAGCTTATGATTCTTTTTATATTACAGGAGAACCCCGCCATCTTGTGCGGGAGGTGGTACTTCTGACCGAAGACAGAAACTTAAGGGTGAAAGCCTATGCACGAGACGTTCCCGTTCGGGAACTGCCCGATTTCATGCGTTGGGCCGGACTGGGATGAACCTAATAGAAATAGAATAAAATATGCCAAAGCAGCTGCTCTCTACATCGCATGTAAGGTGCTCCATTAGTCTGGTAAGTTTTATAATATGAGTCTGTTGAGTATTTTTGCCACGGAGAAATAATCAACATAATACGTGTTAAAAAATTCGCAAGATATTTCGTTGAATGTTTTATAAGTGTAGCTAAAATATAAATCAAATGTAGCGGAGAGTAGGGTAGTTTGCAGAACCGTTTGCATTTCTAAGGCTGGTCAGGCTGAAGAGTGCCATTCGAGGCACAGAAGGAAGGACGCCCCGTACTTACTGTTCGCTGTTTCGGTGATGGAGTGGAAGTGAAGTCTCGGGACTTAAAATGGTCAGAAAGAACCCTCTAACCGTTACGTGGTGGTCCGTATACCAAGAGGGTATACCAATAAATCACTCTATTGTATTGCGATTTTGAATGGCAATATTTTAAGTTCATTTAATTGTCACGGTAATACGATTTTTTACACTTGTGTGTATTGGCGACACAAAAATAACAAAAGTCAAATTCTCCGTACTTAAAACATAATAAATGAGATAGCCAGTTTAACCATGCGATTTTACGAAATAACAAGAAGCAATATATTTTAATAAAGTCGTTAGAATACACCATTGAATTAGATCACATTATAGTACAGTAAAAGAAAAATATTAAATGTAAAACATGAAAATAAATACCACATACTTTCCCAAACAGTGACAAAGGGAGGTTATTTTGAAATATTCGTCCAATATGGAATAGGTGGTTTAAACCAATTAATAACCAATGACATTGCATAAAACGTAAATTATTTGCAACTCTTACAACTATATATATATATATATATATATATATATATTATATATATATATATATATATATATATATATATATATATATATCTTTACAAAAATCATAGATATAATCTTCTTTTTTTTGCTCCTGAATAGTCAAGGCTAGCTCACAGAGATCTTGAATTCAAATTTTTTCCGTTAATATTTAGGAGAATTTACAGAAGCTCAGCATATTTCGTTGGTGCCTTCGAAGAGAATATTTTTTAATAATTTTTTGGCGGAAAACAATAATTACTTGGCACGTATGGGCGAAATTAATTGGTTTCATTTGTGTGTCAGCAAAAAGAACTATACATATTACAGTGGGTGCTTTGATAAAGCACGTGAAGTACTTTGTATAATGTCCATAACTGCAATGAGATCTTTTCTATTTTCATGAACAGTATGAATACCCCTTAATTGAAAATTGCAACGTGTTTGGGAAGGTTTTGGCAAGATGCGATTCATCCATCTCATCCAAAATTTTTGTTCTTACTAACTTAGAACCTTTGAGGAGACGTAGAAAAGAATGATCACAAACCAGATACATTAGAAAAAAAATATCCTAGTCTGCTTATTGATAGAACATGCATAATTAAATTAATTTGGTGTGCATAGCAATGAACGTAATTTGCAAGAGGATATGTCTCCTTAATATTTTTTTGCACACCATTTAATCCACCACTCATAACAGATCATAACTTTGAGCAATTAATTTGTTCGGAGCATGTTTTAATAAGGGATTTAAAACATTTAAAATGCCATTCAACGATGGACTTAGCATCATTTCCGTCCAGCACATAAAATTTCCAAAAGCTCTCAACTGGTCGTCCTTTACACAAATATCGGAAAACTATAACTAATTGAAATTCACCAGCAACGTGTGTCGTTTCATCAGCAACGTCTGTCTGTATCCACTGCAACATAAGGGGAATTTTCAATTTCTTTCTTAATTTCCTCGTGGTAAATCCAACATGCACTCAAGGAGTTTTGGGTTTTTTTTTAGAAACCTTTAAAAGATTTGAAATTTTGAATATGAACCTTTAAGTCAGTCGCGCATCTAGAATTTTCCTCTGGGGGGCGGGGGTTTGGTTGGGCACCGAAATTTTTTTATGTCACCTCCACCATTTTAAGTCCTTAAAATTTGTAAATAACAGTGTCGGAATGGGGTCCAGGGGGGGGGGTTTAACCCCCAAAACCCACCCCTGGGTGCGCCACTGCTTTAAGTCGTTGTCCAATTCGGCGCTAAAATTGACCAGCTCCCTAAGTATTCCTGTTTTCTGAATTTCTAAGAGTTAACTCAAAAGCTCCACAAAACCTTATACAATTTATGATTTGATTCAAGATATATCGATTCTTATCTACCTGTTCATTGTGTTTAATTAGTACATTAAATATTATTAATATTTAACTTACCAAGGATTGAAAAGCTAAAAACATTATTCATGTGCACTTTAGATTTTTCATGGGATTTCATTTTCTCCCACATATGAAGAAGATCATCGGTGCCTTTGTCTCGTCACCTCTAAACAAAACGCACACAAAAAAACCAGTTTATTAGTTCGCAACCACACAACCATATATTTTTATTATAAATAATTTTATTAAACTTTTGCGAACTTTTTGTCCACTTTATCCACGAATTCTTTTATTTGTAGTTTTTTTTAACGAAAAACCACCAAAATATTTAAGATATTAATTTGATTCATTGTCAATAAATAAATTAAACGTACGAAATATTCAAAATATTATTTTTGATAATAAACACAATAGCAGCAAGCGAAGGCGTAAATAAACTCGAAATAGATAAGATCTACTACTTCTAGAACTTCCATCCAAGATCTCGTACCTGGCTCGAGTAGTCTCATTTAAACGTATTTATGTAATGTTTCTAAGTTTGGGTCTTCGGCTTGGCTTGCTTGAAGCTGATCTCCCTTTTTATGTAGTGGGATAATTACTTCGATATTCCAGTCTTGTGGCAGCTGTTTATTATTTCATATATAGTTCACTATTAGTTCGTGTATCGCATTCAATAAGGAGTCTCCACGCCTTCCTTTATTAATTTTGCGCTAATCTTGTCTAATCCAGGTGACTTGTTGTTTTTCAGTCTGGAAACTGCTTCTGGCATTTCAGCTGGTGGTATCCGTTTGATCCAGTATAATTCTATCATATAGTGAATCTTCGTTTTTTTCAAACTTTTCTTTGAAAAATTCTGTCCATCTTGGTAGTATTTCACTCTATTGGAGTTACTATATCTCTTTCTTTGTCTTTGCATATCATTGTTCTTGGTTTAAATTCTTTTCTACTTTTGTTTTTGGGTGAATTTTCTGGTTTCTGATTGTTTTGTTTTAGTTCTTCCATTTCTTGGAGTTCTTTTTTCTATATATACTCTTTTCTTTCTGCGATATATTTTCTTACATTCCCTCCTTAGCATTCTGTATTCCTCCTCTGCCTTTCGTGTTCTATGTCGTTGTTGTAGTCGTTGATATGCATTATTTTTCCTCTCTGTTATGTTACGACACTCTTCATAGAACCACTGTCCTTCAGTTGATTTAAGTTTTTTTTGTAAACCCAGGCTCTCTTTGGTTACGTCTTGTATGATGTTTTTACACGCTTCCCATTCTCTGTTTATATCCTCGTATTTTCCTTTTATATTATATTCTTTGTATTTTGCCTTTTTGCTGTTGTCTGCTAAGTTTTTTATTTCATATTTTTCAATTTTGGTTCCCTTTTTTTTAATGTTTGAGATTCTGGCTCTTATTCTACTTTCCACTAGTTAGTAATCCGAGTCTGCATTTGCCTCTCGTCTGCTGCATACGTTTATTACGTCTGAGTGATGTCTAGAGTCAATAATAACATGATCGATCATGTTTACTGTAACCCCATCTGGAGATCTCCACGTTCCCTTATGAATATTTTTTCACTGGAAGCATGTGCTGGCAATGACCATGTTAGGGGAAGTTGCTAGATCTATTAGTATGATGCCATGGTTATTGGATACCTCATGAAGGCTGTGCTTACCTATAGTTGGTAGGTATTGTTGCTCTTTTCCTATTTTTGCGTTGAGATCACCATAAATAATTTGGATGTCATTCTTTAGGCATGAATGGTACGCAGCTTCTAGTTCTTCATAGAATTTTTCTTTGACATCGTCTTCCTTTTCTTCTGTAGGGTCATGCACATTTAAGATGCTATAATTAAGCTTAGTCTTCAGATGCACATTCTAGAGTTTATACCACGAAAGTCTCTTACGGGATGGTTTACCTTTTTATTTACAATGAAGCCAGTATCTAGTGCGTGGTCTTAAGCGTCGCAACTATAGAATATAATGTGGTGTCTTTTGTCTATGGTGGCACTCCCGGTCCATCTCATTTCCTGCAGAGCTGTTATATCTATGTCATATCTATTCAGTTCACCGAGCAGATTTTGGAAGGCTCCCGATCTGTATAGGGATCGGATGTTCCACGTCACGATTCTTAAGTCATGATTTTCTCGCGTACTCGTCGTCGTTTGATCAGTCCGGTTTTCTTTCCTTGAACATTCGTAACATGTGTCTTTTCTCGGATAGTCTTGTTATCCCTATGCCTAACCCCCTTTTCAAGGACCATTTCTCCTTTCCTCGTCGACCCTGACCATACTTTCCAGTGGGGTTGCTCAGGTTTGCCAAGGTCCAGCTGTGTGATTAAGCCACACTTCTTGGAGGTGAGTGATAATATACCTCTATCTCTGTCACTCACATAGAATGCTCGTAAAATCTTTCTCATTTCATAGGAGCCATTATGATATTGGCACCAGCAGATTATCCGGTCCGCAGTGGGTTGCTAGCATCGGTTATGAGAGTTGGATTGCGCACACAGTTGCCAGATTTCATATAATTGATGAAGATTAAAAGATATACACACAGAATAATAAGACAGCATTAAGATGTTTTAAAGATAAAAAAATATGTTTTTGCATGTTAGCATAGTAGTGCCATGTCTCTATGCACTGTGCCGCAACTGTTCTACAGATCATCCGCTCGCAGATGAACATGAGTTTATTGTAGTTATACTTTTAAAACTTCTAACGAAACATCTTGCAAATAACGTTATTTACTTTTTCTGTCTCTTTCAGGTGACGTCGCGTTGTGTTAAGAACAAATTTGAGTATCACAAAAATATAA